GGGTACTACCACCTGCTTGGGAGCCTCTAATTAATAAAATTAAAACTAAACCCAAACATACCACTGCAAGACTTCTAAACACAGTTAGTTCATTCTGCGTACTAAAGACAATAATTAAAAAGCTGAAGGTACTCCGGGTTAACTTTCATCGGGACGTCAGTCACCTCAGTCCCTCGTGATCATGGGTGCTGAAAAGCACCTGAAACGTCGGGTACTAAAAATAAAATAAATAAAATGTGATAAAATCCGTAAAAGTAGTTTTAATCAACGTGTAGTGTTCACGAATATATAAGATATCATTATTGATATAGTCTTGATAAAATAATGTTTAATATCATGGTCTTTATTATTATTGGTCCTATTTAATATTGATTAGCACCATATGCCAGTATTTTTACGTTCGAGTAGACTTCAAAATTTCATATAAATATAGTTCTATTCACGGAGAACATGGGATAAGAACTAAATTCATGAACAGGTGTAGAAATTTACATAAGATGGGCAGCAGCTTCTTCCGACCATAGCTCAAAATATTAAAAATATGTAGCTGGCAACTCGCAAGCCAAGCCTGACTACTATGGCAAATATCCAACTTGATTTTAAGTAACTATTAGAAATCCAATTGATGGACTAGAGTAGAAATAATATATTAGCTATGTAGAGGTGGCAAAAAAGAAACTATTACCACATTTCATCCCGTGGGTGTCTTAAGAGGCAACAGAGGGAAACTGAAAGAGGAGATGGGTAGCATCTCCTAAATAACAGCGCAAAGTAATAAATTGCTGCGGTTGCCAATCCAATTGTCAAGCGTGAACACTACTGCAAATACCCGGTCTATTTGTCATACAATAGGGGAAGCCCATGATCAGCAGTGTAAAGTCCTATTAAAAGTAAAAAAAAGTTGTAGCCTAAATACATCCCACTACTAGACCCAGGCCACAGGGAGTTTTAGGTTAAAAAAGAGTTGATCAAGTTGGTTATAACGCTGCATGACTGACTTCACATACCTATACCAAAAAATGATTTCCGAATTTTTTTGAACATCTCAGATATGCTGATTTCCTCCGATGTTTTTCTTCACCACCAAGAACGTGGTAAATCGAAACATCTAATTGCATTTCTAATAATGAGTGGAGCGGCGCGGATCTAATTTGAGTTGCTTACGTTCCAACTAGGAAATTGACGTTTAATAATAATAATAATAATAAATCATTTATTCTGGACCAAACCTTTTATACATTGTTCACACCCACCAAACTGCGTAACAGTTTGTCGGCGGGATTAGCGCTTGTCTTAATACATTTGGTTCAAATACGTAACTATAAACTAAAGAAAATAAAAGTGTAAATAAAGCAAGTTTTAATTTTTTTTCTTTTAAACTGGTATTAAACTATTATTAAGAACTATTTACTAAAATTTAGCCTATTATAAAAAAAAACTACTGCTATTATGAAGAATTACTAACATTTGGCCTATAGAAACTACTACTAATATTAGGATTTACTAACTTCTTCACATCTCTCAACAACTAAGTTAAGGAAGACAGTTTTCAATTTATTTTTTAATGTTTGTTTACTTATTCTAGTATTATCCTCTCTCAGCCAATCAAGGTCATTAAAAAGTGTGGGGGTCAAATATTTATTGGTTCTTTTCCCATAGTAATTTTTTACTGGTGGTCGCACGAGTTTACGCCCTCTAACGCTTCTAGTATTATACCTATTTTGCACTTGTTCTTTAAATTGGTCGTTATAGAACTGTTCAAGAACCAGCAGGTACTTGACCTTCTCATGTACAGGAAGCATTTTACATGCAACAAAAAGTTTTTCATAATTGTCTTTACATGCAATTTTTGTTTGTGGTTTGGCAAGGTATTTTATAAAACGGATTTGTAACGATTTTATACTGTTAAGATAGGTTTTAAATGTACGGCCATACGTATTTAATCCATAAGTTAGTAATGACTCGGCGAGAGCAAAATAAATGACACGCAACGATTTCCTATTCAACGCTGCATTCAGGATATAAAACTTACTTAACACTGCCCTGAGCTTTGTACACACTGCGTCAACCTGTGTTTTCCAATTCATATTATAGTCCACCCACAGACCTAGATACTTAAATCTACTTACATACTCCAGCTTTTGACAAATACAATTTAAATTTTTATCGTGCATACATTCATACGTGTGGCCCACAATACCTATATCACGATCTTGACATTTTTTGCCACTAAGTTGTGCGGTGAGTACAGATGCATCACTTTCGTCTTATTACGGTTAAGTATGATACCATTGTCATGAGCCCAACGAGTAACATTATCGAAGTCAGCCTGCAGCACAGCCCTGACCTCTTGTATATTCTTAGAGGAATATATAAGGCACATGTCATCCGCGTACATATATACTCGAAACCGCATACTTGACATGCATAACGTAGCCAACGGGACCATAGAGTGAACCAGTTGGAACACCAAGCTGTACCGCTGCTTCTTTACCAGCAACACCAGAAATGCAGGTTTGTAATGTTCTGTCACTCAGATAACTCCGAAACCACCTATTTGTTGGACCCCTGATTCCACACTCATCCATGGCCTGTAACAGCATCTCATGATCCAAGGTATCGAAGGCTTTTTTAAAGTCTATTAACAGCGCCAGGACCCGATGGCCCTGGTGCAGACTACTGTTTATATCTTCGGAAAACTGTGATAGTGCTGTTGCGGTGCTACGACCATGCCTAAAACCGTGCTGTGCATTCGCTAGTATGCTATTTTGCTCCAAGAATTCGCTGACCTGGCCGACTACCATCTTCTCAACTATTTTATTAATGACCGATAAGATAGCAATCGGTCTATAGTTAGCATACTCTGAGTGCGCTTCCTGCTTGTAGATGGGCCTGATTAAAGCTTTTTTGAGTGTGCTACGATATCCCCCTTTCGATAAACACAGGTTGAGAAAGTGCGATAAGACCGGCGAGATCCTATCCTTGATTATTTTTAGGTCCATAACTCGAATTCAGTCAGTGCCTGGCGCCTTACTACAGTATCGATAATTTACTCACTTCTTGGTAGCTGGTTTAAAGCGAAACGTTACATCACTTTCTTTAACATATTTACTTCTATCTAATAACTTAATACTACAATTATGTTTAATAGCAATAATTTCGTTCGTAAATGTATCTGCAAATTGACTACATAAATTGTACGTTGTGTTTTTATCTCCAAAATATCTTTTAACTATATCATCTATATTTGCTTTCTTCCTACCTGTCCAGCTATTAATTTTGTCCCAGATTTTTTTGGGTCTCCATTACATTTCTTGATTTCTACCTGCCGAAACCTATTTTTTGCTTTAAATATTAATTTGTTTACCTTATTTCTAAAACGTGTATATTCGAGTCTTTTCGTATTATTGTTTGGTGTTTCTTTCCAATCCCTAAATAACTTATCCCTACGCATTATCATTCTATTTAAATCTCTACTTATCCACGGTTGTGTGTCCCGTTTTTTAATCTTTGGCATTACAGTCCTACAATTTTTATAAATATCATTGAAAGCATTTTGCAGCTTACAATACAACTTTAACGGACAATCAATGAACAACAGTTGAGACCAATCATAATCAGTGATCTGCTTAGCTACTAGCCTATTATTAATTACAAACCGAGTGTCCGAGTCCGCGCTGTCGGTGCAGTGTTGCGTCACATGTTTACACGGCACCGAGATTCCCACCACATGATGATCCGACATGGAGCACTCAATGATGAACGAGTAGCAGTCCCGCAGCTGTCTTGCTCGCTACACCCAAACATGATCGATACACGACGCTTCTCTTACACCCGCTACGATAACCTCTCGCGTCACCTCCGTAACCGGTATTACGCACTGTAGGCCTAGTCCACACAGGCAGTCCTTATATTTTGACAGCAGTTGATTTTCACTCACTCCTAACAGGTTTATGTTGACGTCACCTAATATGATATTATCCTCGCTCGCTGGGATCTTCATAAAATTATCTGCTCCATTTCATCAACGAACAACGACCTATTCGTTTTTGGTGGTCTGTAGACTGCAATCATATTAATAATAGAGTGGTCAACAGTGAGTTTACCATAAATTCCTTCCAGTAAACTCGTTAGGGTTTTGTGTGCATTGAAACTAAGATACTCCTTAGCGTAAATAATCACACCCCCTCCTCTTTTAGTCTCCCTCGTGTTTGCAAATAGATTGTACCCCTCCATGTGGTATAGTGATAGCTCATTGTTGTTAATGTTTGCCTCTGTCACCACTAGTAATGCTAACTCCTCAGAGCATTTTTTTACAAACACTAGCAATTCATTAAAGTTTTTTCTTAGCGACCGAATATTTATGTGTAATATGTGTAAATATTTGTTGTTGCAAGATATACTCCGAACCCAGGAATTCGCTGTTTTAAATCTTGTATATTGACATTCCAGTGTGATAATTGCATCGAAACGATCACCTTTTACTTGATGTTATTGAGCTCGCAGTGTTTACTTCGCACTAAGTGTGCGTGAGGCTAGTGAGACCAACAACAACATCTAGCTAGTTGCCGTATTTAAATTGTTTGCTATATATTTTTCAATATCACGTTCACTCTTAATTGACATTATTTTTTTCTGTTCATCACTCTTTCTTATTAGTATTTTTCCATCCTGTACCCAAATGTACTTGTAGGTTTCCCTAAGCTGATTTTTAGTAACCCATAAAAGGTTCCTTTTATATCTAGTGAGATTCTCATTTATATAAATACGGTTGTCGTTATTTGTACCATAAATTTCGCCATTGGTCAGATGTTTTTTGCGACTTCTAATCCACTTATCACGAGCCTCTTTCGTTCTCAGCATTACAACTACTGGCAGTGGCTTGTCGGCATCTACTACCCTCTCTGCGTGCTCAATCTGGCTAACATCCATCTGGAGTTTGTTGGCTACCTGGATTATTATTTTCGCCACATCTTAATTTTCCTTCTTTTCCAGTCCAGCTAATTCCACCTATTTTTCCTTGTGTTTCTCTCCAGCTCATTCACAGGTTCTTCCAGTGCTTTGTTGCACTTCATCAAGTGAGCATTCATGTTTACTAGGGCTTTTATTTTTGTTTCGGTCGACTTCTGGTACTCCACTAGGTTATCATATTTTTCTGACACAAAATCAACCAAATCGGCCAGCTCATTCAGCTTCTTATCCATTTTGTACACCACCTCCATTTTCCTATTCATATCAGAGTTTATTTATTAGAACGGTTTGATTACAGACTTACACAGATGACTTTCCAGATACCATCAATACAGTTCTACTCATAGCTGAAATAAAAATAAACCTGTGTTGGAAATTTGATTGATTTGATAATTATAGTACTTTTTCATAAGAACATTTTCATTTAATCATGTAAGCTATGCATCCGGGACTGTCACAAAGTTTTTAATAGTTAAGTTTGAAAAAATGAAAGCTATCTTAATATATGACAAACTGCTTTATAAATCTCATTAAAAGTAAAAAAGTCTGCATAAACGGTATCACAAATTATTCCACCAATTATGTATAAAAATCTCGTAGTGCATTTAATTTTGAATTACTTATATCAGACTTGATACAAAAAGAAATTGCAGAAATATTGCAATAGCAGACACACACCGCAACATATTCAACTTAAAGACCTTCTTTCTTAATCAAAGTTTTGTGGAAACAGTTCAGTTAGTAATTTTGCTAAAATTGACAATTATGATAAAACATGCTGACAGTATGGCCACCGATTATACCGTTCTGGCAATTTTTGATGCTGCAACAATAAGTTCATATTTAAAAGAGTTGTGTTTAATTTGACCAGTTATGTACTTATTAGTTTATTTCGCAGTAAATTGATGGCGCTATAATTATATTAATAATATGACAAACAAAACTTTACCCTTAAGTACTCAAAGTCAATAAGTTGAGGTGCGATTGGAATGGTTCTATCGCATAACACAGATGCTAACATTTAAGTAATACATACAATTGTCATAAAGTGATCTAAATCTATTAAAAATTCTGCTTTATCAAATATACGAAATCAGCTAGCGGTGTTTTATGAAATTATTTTACGATTTAACAACAATATCTAGAAGAATATCAAACTCTTATTTAGTTGTTAATATCGCCAAACAATCTCTATTTATTTATTTGGTAATGCTATATTATGTTAAAGTCAACAAACACTGTTAAAATTTATGAAATACCACGATTTCACTTTCAATTATCGATTAATTTATGATATTACAAAAAATTTATTTCAAATATAAGAATAATAGGAGTTTCGTACATACTAATTGCAATTAAGTTTAGAAAATAATACCTACAAAAACTTTTTATAGATTAGAAATTAACTTACATACATCCTTAATTTTGTGATTTTCGATGGACGTCACTACTATCTATTTATTAAAGTAGTAATTCGTTACTATAAAGTTACTATATATCTATGTAGCAATTAGTTATATTCGTATCTTACCTTAATCAACGCTTTCAATATGTAGATATAGATTACAATGACCCAAAAACCGGAATTGTTGACTGTAATGTCTGAAAAATTAATCTTAAATCACTCAATAACCCAGGTTAGCGTGCTTATTATATAATAAAATACCAAAATAAATCAGAAGCACTAAAAGCCTAAAAAAGTTCAAAAAGGAAGTAAATACATATTTTAAGAAAAAGTGTTCTTACTCATCGTAAGTTAAGTTAATACAACATAATTAAAATATAATAATAATTGTAGGCTTCTTGGTTTGAACTGTTTTTTATAATTAAGACCATATGTATGCAAAAAGAATAGCAAATAAATTGAATTGAATTAAATTTTGCATATAGCATTTATATATATGTATCGCTGGTCGCTGGTAAGCCAAACGGGGCATCCAAAACGCTAAATCTACCCCTCGAAACTTACGTTAAAAAAACCTTTCCGCAGATATATCTCTTACTGGAAACACCTCTGGTCAGCCGGTCTGACGATCTATTGTATTGTGACGTGATACCTATAGTCTTGCAAGGAAATACTAAGTGGACCTACTATATGGACATGAATGTGAGGATTTTTTCCACCAACGAAAAGCTCCCTAGTTCCGATGTATTATGCCTATAAACTTTAGTCCGTTGAGATGCAATGCACGACTTGACCCATTTACCTACATCCTCATTCATATTTACCCAGAAAAATCTGTCACTCATTGGTTTACGCGAGGTACGGATTCCGGGTTGGCTAAGACTATGAATACAATCGAAAGCTAAGCGTCTTAATTGTTCCGTTGATTATAAAGAAAATGGTTTTTTTATTTTGTTATCAAATTGTTTGTGTGTCGTGCCGTGTCCGAGTATGCTTGTGTCGTAAAACATTTATCATAGAAGTGAGTTTTAATTATTTCGACAAATAAATATCTTATCCACATGACTAATTTTTGCTTATGTTTGATTCCAGATGTTTCTTATTACCTTTCTCATTACCTTCATCTTTTCATTCTTTATTTCTGGTCCAATCTTCGGCAAACGAACTTACAGTATCATAAAGTCTTGCACAGTATATTTTTATTTTTATTAATGACAGCTCTCAAGTAAATTGTAGGATTTGTTCATCTTCTCTATCGTTATTTGGATGTTTTTTATTTTTATTTCAATAGTCTTTGTTTATTATCCTTGACACTCGTAAGTGTTCCTTTCAGGGAATATTTGTAGTTTAAAAATTTGATGTAATGAAGTGACGATAACTCACATACCTACTAGACAATATTTTTTTAAATATATCTGTCTCTTTTTGTGTTAACAATACACTTATATGATTATGTACTTTATAACTTGATATCAATCACAAGGACTAATATTTCTTTTCAGCAAAAATATAAATTTAATCTTTCACATGACATCAGTAAAATCATAGATAAAAAGAAAAGGGAAAATTGAATTTCATCAAAGGCAATTGATTGGCAATAAGAGTATTTGTCTCTAATATTGAATCGGTCAAATCTGAACGTGACATGACCGACGAGTTATTAAGTCGGGATTCAACCAAACCAAAAATAAACCAAGAATATTGAACCAGATCGAATCCTTGTTTTCCTTACACTGCTATCAATTACTCGTTTTTATTTGGGATTAATTATCTGTTATATACCAGTGAAAGATTAACAAGAGACATTAGAAGAAAACGAGACATACCTGAAATTTAAAGGGTATACGGGTTTTGCTTAATAAAAGATCACTCAGTGTTGCCGTGTAGACACCCAGATATAAATATTGTTACGAGCTTGGGATTTGTGACACTAAAAACTGACTATTTACCAAAATTGACACTTCAAATTTTTTTGGTGGGTAGGTGTGTAAAAGTCAACAGTTGGTTTGTTAGCTCCGTTTTATTTATTCAAATGAAAATAGTTTAATATCTAATTTAAGTTCAATTAATTTCAAATCATTGACTTAACACTTTTTTGTTTACATTGTTATTATAAACATAAGCGTTTAAAGAAGATTTAAGAACTTACTTGCATCACCCTACAGCTCCATTTAGCTTACAAGCGAATAACTATATTTATACATTTAAAGTGATTAACGCATGATGGCAAATGTTACCAAGGTTGATCTGGTGCAGAAGGAGCTTGAAGTTGATCGGATGCAAAAGATATCAGAGTTTGAGAAACGCTTAAAAGCTGCTTTAGTCCCATCAAATCCAACCTTGGTTCAGCTAAGTGAGGAATTTTATGCTTTTAAATACTTAGTGAGCAACATTTTAGTCTTCTGCAGCAACAATTTCGGAGGTGTACTAATGCAATTGATGAAATAGATATGCGACAAAAGGCGTAAGGTACTACTTTTTAATGGTATTCCTGAAGAGTCTGGATTAAATGTAGAACAGGAGGTACTTGCAATTGTTTCATAATAAATTGGGCCTTTCACATATAAGCAACTCTTCCTTTGAAGAGCTGTCATCGATTGGGAGCTCCGGGCTGTGATCGGACAAGAGCTGTACTTGTTCATTTCCAAAGTTATGATACTAAATCTGAAGTCTGGAGATCCAAGGCAAAATTAAAGAATACACCATACACAGTATCGGAGTTTCTCACTAAAATGAGACAGAGTACATATAAGAAGGCACGCCGACATTTAGGCATGAAGAATGTTTGGACTCTTGATGGAACCATAAACATTAGGCTTCCTGATAGTAGCCGCATAAAAATGTCCACTGAGGTTTTGTGTTTGATATCCTTCTTACTAAATGGACTAAGCCTAATTCTCCTTCCGTCACTGCGCAGAAAAGCCCATTAGAAACCAGTTCTCAGCAAGGTGGGGCCAAGCGTAGACAAGTCATCTCAGCGGTTCAAAGTGTAGAAATCAAGAAGACACGTCGTGTTGTGCCCAAAAAATAATTCCTCTGTAATCGGCAGTTTGTATTCTATCTTTAGTTCTTAAGTTCTTTTTATTGTATTTTATTTTTTATTTTATTTTTTTATTGTTTGGTTTTCCATTTGTTTGTTGTCATTGTTTGTTATCATTTGTTGACGGTAATTGTATTATTTACATTATTTGCTTGATTATAAAACAAAAATACAGCGGATAATCTAATAGGGACAGTTCGACACAAAGAGTATATAATCACTATGTTTATGGAGTAAGCTTTTGTATAAAGGATAGAATAAGCTGTGTTTGAAAACTAATTGTACATTATTAATCTTGTATTTCGAAACTTAATCGTATTCCTTTGTTTTTTTTTTTGTTTTTGTGTGGTACCTTCTTGCTGCTATGTTAGCAAAATTTAAGTTCTTTTATATCACACTGTTAAAAATAAGTTTTTTTTTACATTACTGTTTGTTTTGGTGAATTTCGTTGTCAAATAGTATACATTAAGTTATCTTGTTAATTAAGTGACTAACTTAGTGATTAACTAACAGTCAACTTTTGTCTTATTATGCTTTGATCAAGTAGGTTAGTGTTAATTGCTTTTTTTTAAATTCTTATTATTGTAAACTATAGATATTCCTTTGCAATCAGTCAACTGTTGGGTGATGTATAATATGTATTGAGTCGTATTTTGTAGTTAGTCTAACATTATTATATTATCTAATAACATATTATTACATTACATTTTTTATTTATTTAAAATTTATTATTCTTATATCTCTATTATTAATGTTAGATATGTCGGATGATGAATCTTTTTATTCTGCCCATGATGCAGATATCT